AATAGTAGATTTGTTCTGTTAGATAAGAAAATCATCATGCGGGTCGATCTTTCATCAATGTTTGCGCGATTTATTTTTTCAAGAAGGCTCTTAAATAAAATACAAAATTGATTTCTTTCATAATCACCGCATTTTCAAAATTATGCGCAAATAATGGGACGACGTCAAGACAATGAAAGCCATGTTGGCTCTCGAAGGTTTACGCGCTTACAGTTCCGAAAACTGTGAGTTCGAATCCCATCCGTTAGATGGACTTTTTTATCTCATGAAGTATGAAAAACATCAAAAACATTAGTAATAACAGATTGGAACTGAAACCAATATTTTGATGATGGTTGATGATGCGGCAATTTTTCGTGGCGTGTTGCAAAATATTAATTTTTAAATCTTTTTGATGTGTTAGAAAACATTTCCATGTGTTTTTTTTTTTTTTAATAAAAACTACTTTCTATTTTTAGACAACTACATAGGAATGTTTTCTAACATAAACCAACAAATTTAAATAAGACAAATAAGCCTTAAAAATTCCAAAAATTAAAAAACTAAAAAAACTTTTAATGTAATAATTAAAAAAAAACGATTGGCTGATTTTCTTGCCTTCATAAATATATAATATTTTTTCAAATGTAAATTAAATACATATATTAAAATATCACATGGTTTAGTAATTCAATTTTGTAAAGGTTTAACAATAATACGATGACAACACTGACAGATCATTATATCTTCTGGTATTTTGAATTTTGTATGATTTCTTGTTTATTCCATCAATTTTTTCCAATCTAAACGTATCATTTTGTGCAGTAAATACAGTTTAAAAAATATTTTGCTTGGTACGAAAATTAAATTTTATATGCGGCCAAGTTTTGTGCTTTTCTGAGAAACTACTGTTTGTTACTTTATTAATTCATTTATTTCATCTGTTGTTTCTATTTTCTTTAATAGTAAGGTTAAAATTTATCCTGTTTATGATCAAAGAGACCGCTTGTTTGGATTTTCTATTATCACAATTTATTATTAATTAAATAGTACAAGATGACACTGACTCTAATCTCTACTGTACGGCACTGTGTATTTTGTATGATTGTTATTTTCTGTTTATTCTGTGTATATATTTGGCTTATTAACGTGTAATGAATGAAACGTACGTTTATTATGATAAATACATGTTATGGATTGCAATCTTTGTGCTTTTCTGTATAGCTTGTTGTAATGAGACTCTACTATTTGTTATTCTATTATAATTTTCACTTTTATGGACGATCAATATGTTGTTTCAATTTTCTTTGATCTTAATGTTAAAATTGATTTCATCGATGACCTCCAAGACCGCCTAGTTGGATTTTCTGTTATTAACTACGTTGTCACTTCTGTTATAATAATTAAACAACACTATGATCACTCGCTCGTCCGGCAATTGAAGTTTTGTATGATTGTTTGTTACTTTTTGTTTTTCTGTGCATTTGTTTTGTTTATTAACTACTGTTTTAAATTTATCGTTGACCATGTTAATTATGAGCTATATATTGCAACCAACATTTATGCTTTTCTGTATGGCTTATTGTTATTAGAATCTACTTTTCATATTTTATGATCGACCTATGTTTTGTTTTTGCCTGTTGTTTCAATTTTAATATATTATTCAATATAATAAATTAGCATTAATTCTGTTGATTGGCCTCTTCTCTTAGTTAGATGATCTATTAATAAATTTGGTACTGATGACCCCTCTACCCTGTTTTGTGATTATTCGTTTCTTTCTATTTGTACATATTTTGCGTAATTTAACGGTGTTTTAATTTAATCCGTTGTTTTATTTCATAACTAAATTGTATATATTGCCGCCAAAAATATTGCGGTGAGAATGTACTATTTGTTCCTTTTTTATGCTTTAATTTACTTTTTAAAATTTAAAAAAAAAATTTAGCCTTTTCACAATGTTTAGACGATTTATATGTTGCTTTTTGCAGTTGTTTCAATTTTCTTTCATCATAAGATTAGAACTGATTCTGTTGATAATCGCAAAGACTAGTTTTTACTACTAACAAATTTATAATAAATTAACATGATGACTAGTCCATTGTCCGGAACTTTTTCTTATGTACGGTAAATTGTTTTTATTCTTCGTTTGTTCTGCATATATATTTTGTTTGTTAACCTGTGTTTTTAACAAATATGTTTTTCTTATGATAAATAAATGTTATATATTGTGGTCAATCTTTGTGTTTTTTGTTTAGCTGGAGAATCTACTGTTTGTTACCCTATAAATTTATACATTTCACTTTTTTCTTCTATAATCAAAAGATTAGAAATGATTCTGTTGATGGGCAGGCTAACTGCTTAGTTAGGTTATTTATTATTGAAAAATTTTATAATGAAACTCTACTGCGATGGTACTAATGGTCTACTTATCATCCGGTACTTCGTGTTTTGTTTGGTAGTTTGTTATTATTTGTTTCTTCCTTTTGTTTATATATGTTGTTTTTTAGGAAGCTGCTTTGGATTAATCGTGTGATTTCTAGCATAATTAAATATCATATATTGCGGCCAAAAATTGGGTGGCATATTGTTATAAATATTTAATAATTAAACAGTCTATGATGATCACTGTCCGGCACTTCGGGTTTTGTATGTCTTTTCGTTAATATTCGTTTCTTTCTTCTGTGTAAATATATTGTTTATTAACAGCTGTTTTGAATTAATTGGATGTTTTCTATCAAAATTAAAGTGTATATATTGAGACCAAAAATTTTAGAAATATTACGGTGAGAAACTACTGTTACCCTATAAACTTATACTTTTCCCTTTTTTCGATAACCTATATGTTGTCTCTTGTCTGTACTTTCAATTTTTTTTAGACCCACAGACCGCTTAGAAAATTGGATTGTATGTTGTTAATAATTAAACAGTACTACAAGATACTAATGTTCACTCTATTGTCCGGGATTTTCTGTTTTGTATGTTTTTTATTTATTTCTTGTTATTTTTTTGTTATTCTTCTTTAGTTTTGAGTATGTACTCGTTTATTAACCAGTATTTAATAAATCTGTTTTTCTTATGATAATTAAACTTTATATACCGGCCAATCTTTGTGCTTTTTGGTTATAGCTTGTAAGAATCTATTGTTTGTGTCTGTATAAAGTAATACTTTTCACTTTTTATGTATAACATATATGTTTTTGCCTGTAGTCCCAATTTTCTATAAAATTAGAATTCAATTATTACAGCTTTTTAATAATTAAACAGTACCTAACAATAGGATGATACTGATGATCGCTCTATCGTCCGACAATTCGTGTGTTGTGTGCTTGTTTGCTATTCTATGTGTTTGCTATGTTTTCTTATGATGCTGAAATTATTGACCAATCTTTGTGCTTTTCTTACGGCTTTTCGTTGTAAGAATCTATTATCTGATACTGTATAAAATTATTCTTTCCACTTTTTTTGACGACTTATATGTTGTTTTTCATTGTTATTTCAATTTTCTTCAATCATAAAATGAGAATTGATTCTGTTGATGGGCCGTCAGAGCATTTAGTTGAATAGACTAATTATAAGTTATATTTTAATAATTGAACAGTATAATGATGGTCCTTATGATCACTCTATGATCCAGCACTTAATGTTTTATATGGATATCTGTTGTTTTTCGCTTCTTCTATGTATATATTTTGTATATCACCCGTATTTTGAAATATCGTACGCTTTCTGTCATAATTAAATGGTGCTACCTTTCTTTATTGCTTATAATGTGGATTTACTATCGTTTTCAAAACTGTCTTACCCTACTTATTATGTTAAATAAGTGTATAATTTATGTACACAACTTAATATTTTAAGTATAAGTCGTTTTTGAATGAATAGGTTGATTACTATGTTAAATAAATGTGAAATATTGAGGTCCTCTTTTATTTTTACTTGTATTGCTTGTTTTCAATGAGAATTTACTAATTTCCCTCTACTTTGTGTTTTATGTAGGTGTATAATTTTCATGTGCAACTTTATTGTTATACATAGGGTCCTTTTGTGCTTTTCTGTATAGCGTTTTGTGATAACTATTAGTTACTCTATAATTTTATGCTTTCCACCGTTGTCAGACGGTCTGTATGTTGGTTTTTATGTTTCCACATTTGTTTGTTGATGCAACTGGTGTACAGACCGTTGATTCGGATTATGTATTAACATGAAATTTTCAATAGTTTAAAAGTTCATTGTAATAATTAAACTTCTTTATCCGGCACTTGGCGTTCCGCTTGATTAATTTGTCCCTTTGTATATTTTCCCGTGTGTTTTGTATATTCGGTGTTTTCAATAAATCTACTATTTTATTTGATAATTAAATGTTACATAATGCGATCAAATTTTGTGATTTTCCTTATAACTTGTTTTGTGAAGATTTTACTGCTTGCTGTTCTGTTGAAATTTAACAATTTCACCATTTTCGGAGAACTAGTTCATGTTTCCTGTTGTTTTTATGTGCTATTTCAATTTTCATTTGTTTACTACGCTAATAGATCAAACAAATACAAGATAATTAATTATTATTTTTCAATAATTTAAAAGGAGCATTTAAAATGATGCCATACCACTCTGCTGCCCAGCACGTTGGGTTTTGTATGATTTATTGTTATTTTGTGTACAATTTATTATTTTGTTTATTAACCGATGTTTTGAAACTAATAATTAAACTTGTATAAATCGGATGCTTTTTTATAATGATTAAATTTTATATGTTGCTTATTGAGTCCTTTTCTTGGCTTATTGAGAGAAAATTTACTGTTTTATAGTACTAACTGCTAAGTTTAGTTTTTCACATAATTTGTATTGTACGGCCTGAAGATTGGTTTTTCGAATCATTTTGGTCAAGTTAAATTTCTATAGTAATTGATTGACTAAAGTGATCTAACATAGTTATGTATTTACAGGTTTTGAGGTCTCGAATTTTAAAGTAAATAAAGTGGTCGAGTACTTTTCGAAGTGTACATATGCAAGTCACTCACCCGATCATAGTGAGGATGGTGGGCGAATGGAGGAAAAGGCGGTGGCGGCGGTCGCGCTGAAGAAGTCGAAGGCCTCTGGTAGAGGTAGGGGTAGTACGCTTGGTAGACCACCTCCGGGCAGCTCATGCCTCCTCCGCCTATACGCTCAATCTTGGCTGTTGGATAGACACAACATATCACGTTCACAGTCACTCACAGACTGAGCTTCTGGCCGGCGGATGACCAGGAGAGCGAGGGCCTCGCTCCGCCCCTGCCCAGTCCCGCCATCTTGCTCCGCCCAGCTCGCTCCCCATTGGACTCCCTCCATCGATCCCGGGGGTTGGAAATTAATTCGCCCCGACGAACACGCCCTGCACCTCTCCCTGACGGACGGCGCCCTCTTCCACCCTCTGCACCCTCTGTCACTTCATTTAATGCCGATAACACGGGATCGATCCACTGGGAAGAGCGCGGTCTATCTCGGCCATCCACGACGCTAAATGTACTCCAAGACTGTTAATTCACTCACCTGGACTGACGACCACAAAGCTTCTTAAATAACAGCTCCCTTAGCACAAAATATCAAGAAAATAAAATTCTCAGTATGATATGTTAATAAGGGTAATATGAAGCGGGGTTTGTTCTCCACAGGCACTGCACCTTCTGGCTTATTGTACTTCCTAGTTCCTTAGTTCAGTGCAATAGGCTCAATCCTTCTTCTTAGAAGTATCAGGTTATTGACTGTCGCTGCTCCAATTTCATTTCCTAGATTTTTTTCGTATGTTGGTTAGATCTCCATTGAGCTGTTGCTTCGCATTCGAAGATATATAGGTGGCTTTTTCCTCCTCCTCAATACATAATCTGCAGATGGGTTGTTTATGCCCGTGTTGTACAGATGTTTTCTCAGATGTCAGAAAATTCTTGAACCGACTTCAATTTGTATTCCTTGATCTTAAGATTAAGGACATACCATATGTTCCTTACTGCGATCCCTGAGGCTGCAGCATCTATCTTCATACGGAATTACTTACTGAATGACCGCTCAATAAAAAAGCCGAAAAAGTATGATAAATTTCATATATTTTCCAATAGAAGTATTTCAGATAAGGGGTCGTCAGATAACTTCTCATGCTGGACGATGCATTTTGACTTCTACTCCAAAATTCCAATAGTTGTCATTAGTTTTTTGTGAGATAGGATGTCGCTTCGGAACGCAAACCAACTTGAAAGTAGAATACTTTGTTCTAAGAATACTCATCGAATTGTATTTTTTGATTCTAAAAATAAGGACATATAGGTGCCTGACTGTTTTACCCCTAGCTAGCAGTGGCATCGTCCTACCCTCGGCCCAGGTGCACGTGTTGTAAGATGCGTCACTTGTAGCTGAATAAGGTCTATAATATATTTCATATATTCTTTAGAAGAAACATTTCAATTAAGGAGGCATCAGATAACTTCTCAGGCTTGACAATGCAGTTTGAATTATATTCCAAAATTCTATTAGTTGTCATTAGTTATTTGTGAGATACGGTGGGGCTTCTTTAACACCTAATAACTATAAAGTAGAATTATTTGGTCTAAGCATATCTTCCAATTGTATACCATGATTCTAAGGTTAAGGACATTCAGTAGGTGCCAACTTGAAAGTAGAATACTTTGTTCTAAGAATACTCATTAAATTGTATTTTTTGATTCTACAAATAAGGACATATAGGTGCCTTACTGTGATATCCTAAGCAGCGACATCGTCCTGCCCTCGGCACAGGTGCACGTGTTGAAATATGAATCACTTGTAACCTAATAGGGTCTACAATGTATTTCACATATTTTCTAGGAGAAGCATTTCAGGGGTCGTCAGATAAGTTCTCAGATTTTAACTTCCATTCCAAAATTCCATTAGTTGTCATTAGTTATTTGAGAGATCGCGTGGCGCTTCTTTAGCACTAATTGACTAGAAAATATAATTCTTGGGTTTAAGCAGACTTTTCATTTGTATTCTTCGATTCTAAGGTTAAGTACACCAAAGGTGCCTTATTGTGAAACCTCTAGTTCGCAACATCAATCCTCCTCGAATATAAACCCTCGTGCATGTACTGAAAGATGGAATAGTTGAAGCTTGTAATCAAATAAGTGTTTATAATAAATTGCATATATTTTCCTGCCGAACAATTCATTTAAAAATCTTTTGCTAATAGCTCAGACTGGACGGTTAATTTTTAATTTCCAAGAATTCATTAGTTGTCATTAGTTATTTGTGTGATAGGAATGGCCTTATTTAGCGTAGCCCGGCTAGAAAGAATAATTATTGTGGTCTAAACATACTCTTCAAATTGTATTCTTGATCCTAAGGTTAAGGACATACCGAACTATAGCAGCCTCTGTCTTCATGGGACATAGACTCAGGTGCACGTGCTAAAGGATCCAACAGTTTAAGCGTAAAGCCGAGTAAGTGTTTATGATAAATTTCACATATTTTCCTGGAGAAGCAATTCAATTAAGGAATCTTTAGATGATAACTAATTAGGCTAGACGATGCCTTTAGACCTCTATTCGATGATTCCCTTAGTTCTGTGTTTTTGACGAAGGATTACTTTAGGACAAACCAACTAGAATGTAGAATTCTTTGATCATTCTTTTTGACTTGCATTTCTTGGTTCTAATGTTAAGGACACATTGAAGGATGCATCTGGCTTGCAACATCAATTTTAATAGTCAGTCTATCTTAGTCCCTAAATGATTAGGGTGACTCATTCTTAGTTTTTTATTTTTGTCTTCATTGGCTTTAAGTACACTTGTGTCTTCTACATTCGACTGCCTCAGTGCCTGCAGGAACAGGGTAGTTCGTGTTTAATCTTACACAGGATAAAGCTCGATCGATTGACTATGGATCACTGACTGCAATGTAATTCCCAATTACTTTCTTTTCCCCTTTACCATATTCCGCTAAAACAGTATAACTTATGCTATGAGACTCTTTTTATCTTTCAGAAAGAGAATAGTTCTTCTTGCAGGATTTACTTGACTGGTCACAACTTTGTGGCTTCTCCTATTGATATCATGGGCCATGTTGATACTCGCAATATTTTCGCTTTGTTATGTATTCGAACCTTTCTTCATTGATTTTTTTCGTTCTTCGGGTTGGTACTAACTCGATTTTGTAGCCTCATAACATTACACTGCCCTTTTGGCACTTACAGGCAAACTGTAAATGATTTATTTCTGCAGAATTAGAAAGCAATGCATCGGTATGACCTTGAAACTAGCGATGGTCATGGTTGTGTCTCACATTTTTTATTGGCCAAAGATGGCTTCAATAGTGCCTATGTCTGGACCATTGCTTCAATTTGAGAGCAACACATTTCGGCATTGTTTGTTTCGCCAGATTCAAGAAGCTATAGTAATCAGCCCTAATGAAGTCCACCCAAATTGCCCTAAGGTGGTCAGCGACGGTCGATTTGCTAACTGAAGTTCTCGAACAGAAGTTCTGGGATTTTCTTCGACCAAAGCTCACAGAACATCATCATCGAGGAAAGAAAGTCTTCCACGACCTTCTAAAGTTAAGTCTAAGCTAAAGTCTCCCTTTCGAAATTTTTAAACCATCTCTCACTCACACTGCCATCCCAGACTACATTAAGGTTTCTGGCCGTTTCTGGGCACCGTTGCGACCGAGTTTAAACTCGTAAATCGAAATTTTGCGAAAATCACGCGTTGGCATTTTAGTAAAGCTGAAAGCCTAAGTAACGAATTGCTACTGAAGTAAATAAACATTTTTTGGAAGAGGAATAAAAAGGTGTTGACATTCGTACAAAAGAATAATCCATCAAACAGTTTGTTATATCTAGGGGCAATTGAAAGAAGACATGAAAATCTGAATTATTTTCCGGACAACCCAACAGCATTTTTCTAACAGTGATGCCTAGGTAATTTTGCCGGTGTCTGGTACAAGAAGATGTCTGGCCAAGCGAGAACAGACGGACTAAACATGATCAAGCCGTGGAAAAATAATTAAACCCTGTTTCGACCTTGGTATTACGGTTTTTGTCAACAAACTTTAGTGTATTAAAAGAAGAAAAATAAAAATATTTTTAAATGCGGTTTTTTCACCCTGGAAGATGCCAAATTCTTATAAGACATCAACATTTAAAAAAAAATATACATGTTGAGAACGTTGGCAAAATTAAAAGTTGCATTCACATTAATTGTAAGGGGTCCACGTACACATAATAATACTTTTATGCAAATCGTCCACAAGTTCTCACAGTAGGAAAGTTTAACTGCCATTTATTTTTATAATAGGGTATGTGCCTTTTCTTGTTAATATATAAATTTTTTATTTTTATTTTATTTTTTTACCGCAAAGCTTTTTGCTCTTTGAAAACAAGTCATACATGGCCGGTCAGGACTTAATTAGGCCCATGGGATAACATGTGAAGAAATTAATTAAACAATTAGGGTAAGATAAGATTGACATAATGTGGAAGAGGAGGAAAAAACTTGATGAAACTGACTTAATAAAACGTTTGAATAAATTGGATTAATGAGTTTTCAACGTCTTATGAATCTTGCATAACCACGGTACAATTAATTCAACAAACAACAAAACTCACCGGCTTTAAAATATGTCTCAAGTTGAACCAATCATGAAAAATTGCTTATAACTAACATAATAAAAGTTTCTGATTTAAAATCAGTTAAAGATAATTAAAATAAAACTTAATATAGTGAACAACCAAACAAGAAAAGACACACATATATGTAGAAATAAGTCCAAAAGAATAAAGAGTGTAATAAAATTTAAAAAAAATCCCATAAAAGAACAGGAAGATTAAAGTTAATTAATTCTTACAATATATATAAACATGTAAAAATAAAGAAAACAAGCATCACGGGGCCAGGGTAATTTAGTACTACTCAGTTTTATTGGCCAGGTTCGTAAAGAGGTAATGGATTTAATGAAATACCTGCATTAATTGCAAATTAATTATGTTATTAAATTGGAACACTAGCTACTGAAATTGAATGTAGAACGAGAATATTAAATATAGTAAGATGAAGAAAATTATCAACAGAATAGTATAATTTTCTCCAGAGTATTTATTACTATAGTTAGTAGAACGGTGAGAAATATGAAAAATCACTTATGCCAGAAACAAAAAAAAATCTTTAACCGGAAAATTTATGGAGAAGATTTGATTCAGCTAAGTAAAAGACGGTCTGTAGTTGAGGAAGTGAGTTAAAGTGAAGCGTGAGAAAGAAAAACTAAAATAAATCTCTCAAAATGGTAGGTGAAGGAACTCCTCTTTT